TCTGATACTCCAATAATCTCTTGAGAAGAATATTGGTAGTACTGAATGGCTTTAAATTACAAATTGAGGATGCTAAATTCTGACAATTCGTAACTTTGCATGAAAAAAAAATGATTCATATGTTTAAGCAAAGCATTGCTCCAGTAATGTATGATCGGGCTGTTGTACAGAATGATGAATTACATCCAATATTTAAAACTAATCTTTCATGTTACTTTTGTCTCTCTTCGCTATTAATTTCTTTTTTTTTTTCCCCCCATGTCTATCATGTGGGGTGGAGGAAAAGAAAGATACTTTCCCTGTGACATGGAAAATAGTTGCACAAGTCAGTAACACCATGCATAAAGGAACCATAATTGACAGATACATTGGAATTAACATGCCAGATTAGGCTAACGGTGTGCGTAGTTCAATATCTTTTGTCCTGGAAATAGGGAGTTCTGTGTGGCTGTGGATCTGGCACTGGTGGGTTTGCAACCACTTGTTTTTCAAAGAAAACAAAAAAATAGACTTTTCAATGGAAATAGTCATTGTTTCATATGTCTGTTAATTCTGAGCACATCCTAAGTCTGAGGAACTGCATTTGCTTCCAGCTGCGTATGTGTATTTCTTTCTCTTTGCACATCCAGTAAGAGCTCATAATTCTTACCTGCAATTTTATATCAGGTTTCAGTAGTATCACTCCTCACTTAAATTAGTTAGCAGAGCTTGCCAGAAGTTCTGGACATCTAACAGTCTTCCTCCTTTGCTTCTTTGTGCTGTGTTATTCTTGATTTTTTCAACTCAAGCTTATTTTGAGTTTCCAATGTAGCATGGCCTTCATCATGGTAGCAAGGTGGGCTGTAGCTGCCAGTTGTGCTGTTCTTCTGGAGTTCTGAAACATGTTTAAATATTTAATTAAAGAAACTACTGATGCCTCTTGTGTGTGTTTTTTTTTGAAGATGTCTAACATAAAATAAAGAAATCAAATAAGAGATGGCAAGGAGGCAGAGTAAGGAATGCACTCTCTAGGCTGTTAGACAATATCTAGTGTCATCATCATTTGCTTTGCAGGGATCTTTTCACATGACAGATTGTATGTGCTCTTGTCTTGTTGCAAGCTCTAAGAAAAGACTGGGTATTTTGGGAAGAGTGTCCGTCTTGTACACAGTCTAAGGTAAGGAAAGAGGCATTCTCTAAGGCAAAATTTCAGTTCTTGTCTTCAATGTACAGCAAAATGCTATTGATACCTCCTTAGGGAAATGTTCAGTAGGCAGCGTATGGAAGAAAGGCTGAACCCTAATGAACTGAATAACCCTGCTAGTATTCTTTTATTATATGAAAACAAAAGTGGTGTATCACTGCTACAATGATTATCATATGATGTAAGGCTAAAATACAGTATTGGTTCCGAACCCTCTAGTCCACCGACATATCTCCCCAGAAGAACGGGTACTAAAACTATCAAGACCTTGTATGAAGGCTTTCTGATACAGGAAGTTGTGACACGTTTCATCACATGTAGTTTAATGCAGATGCTTTCTAATTTACCTTAATTTGAAGGTGGAACATTGTGCAGTGTTGCATTTACTGTTTTCCCAGTTAGATCAAAATTTAAGAAGAAATAGCGGTAGTGCTGTTTATTAGTCTAGTCAGAAGCAGGGATTTTTTTTTGGGGGGGGGTGCTATTTTAAAGCTTATGTGTCCTTCCATTATGTATGAGCAGCTTTACTACTGTGCAGCTCCATGTGTCTTTTCTGCTAGTCATATTGCAACATCTATCTTTTGAATAGCTTTCGTATAAATAAAGCAAGTTTGGGTTTTTTTTTTTGCGTGAGCAGATATTCTACAAGTATAATTAAGTTTTGAAAGTTACATTCTTATGAATATAATGTCTTCATACATAAGAAGAATCCACTGTAAAAAATTTAAGAGGTTTTGCCTCACTTCGTCATTAGAACCAGCACAAAAAAATCTTTTTTTTATATTGTAACACTGAGCATATCTTATGCCCGTGAACATGAACTGCCTTGAATTTTGTTAAGACTCTGTTCTCAGTTCTCCTTTTCACATTCAGTGAGCTTCTACTGTTTCAGTCCGAAAGGGATCAGTCAGTAAAGCTGCGTGATGAAACTAGTTTTATAGTCTAATCAGCTTCTCTAAAGCTCATTTATATTTAGGTGATATTCACAGATCTTGCTGTGCATGCTGCAGTAGTGACCTCTTTTTTTTTTTTAAACTGTAATTCAGGAATAAATAATAAGATTCCTGAAAGGAACACACTTTACAAATGATTGTACATATTCAAAGATTTTATAAATATCCAGATGCCATTTATTTTCATTGATTGATTTATATTTTCCTTAAAAGGAAAAAAAATAGCACAGGGATATTCATTAAATTAAATTAAAATAGTGATAAATGACTAATAAAATCCTACATATTAGAAACCTAGGCTTATAACAAATTTGTAAATTCATCAGTTTGTCTCAGTAAGCAATTTGAAAATTTTACAATAAAAAGTCATTTAAGGAGGTCATTTTGTTTTCCTATCATCTTCTACGATCTGTGATCAGGAGAGAAAATATGAAATTCTTCATTTGCATCTTCCGTCAAATGCTAATATAGTACTCCAGAAAATGTCTTAAATGGACATAAAGGAAAAGGGAGTAAGAAGGATGCCTTGGTAAGACTAGGTTCAGATAGTAGACTCTTGCTGTGCTGGAACAGGAGTGTCATCTCCTCTGTATTTCTCAGTCAGGGTTCATATCTTATTTGGAGAGCAAGAGTTCACCAGGATTTTCAGGGCAGCGTCTCTAGTGATTTGGATTGGTATGAATGTCGTTTGCCTTATTAAAAATGCATGTGTCCAGGTCCAAAAAAGAAGTTACCACCACAGTGACTTGAACCAGGAAAATATCAATTTTCTCAAAAAAATCTGCAGAATTCGGGGATCTAAGGATGGAATTGTTTGGCAGTGTTTGAAAATGAAGGAGTAAAGCTGACCCAGTAAAGGGATAAGGCAGCTAACGCTGTGGCATGGGCAGATATTCCTCCTCAGTCCCACCCAATTCACTACCATGAACTGTACTCAGCAGTTGGACTCTAACTATGTTCATTCATAAGGGGTGCAGAAGATTTAAATCCTCCACTGCCTAAAAAGTCTTAGACTTGCATATCCCACCAAAGCACCACTGCAACTAGCTAGGGAGATCAAATGCCAAGTGATTTATCTGATTTATCTCAAAATTTTAACTATTCCAATATTAAAATAGATTTCTCTTTCCTTGGAGAATTCCCTGTCAAAAGGGTCTAGGACAACATACTCTCTTTTCTCATCTTAATTCTCTATTCTTATACTCAAACACGTTCATAATTACTCTGTAAGTGGAATTGCTTTATCGGCAATGGATTAAGAGCATCACACCAGGAAACAGCGAGTGACTAGATTACTATCAGAGATGGTGGTAGATGTGGGCTCATGTGTCCCTTACATGCCAGGTGAGTTATCTGATCCCCAGGTTACTGGATTAAAATAAGGTTTTTGTGCAAAAAGAGAAAACAAGGCATTACCTTTACCTTTCTCTCATCAAAATCAGCAGAAGGTTTGACATTGACTTCAACTGGAACTTGTGAGGCCAAAGCTGAGCTGGCAATGTCTTTGAAAAAAAAAAGCTTCCAAAAAGGTAATATGCAAAGGATATCTGGACAACCATCATTTGCCACCTATATAAACATTAATCACCTGCATTTTTCATCATAAGAGTGTGCTCAGTGAAACTGTGTTCAGAGAAGTTTGCTTCCAGGCACATTGCCATGGGCACGGAACGTGGCTTTTGAACACTTTCTGGAAGAACTTTGCATGAGCTCTGAACAGCTCGCGAATTGTTTCTTATATATATTCAAAGCAAATTAATAGAAAATTGCTATTAATATTAACTGTGGTTTCTCTTCAAATGCCAAGCTAAAGAGATCATTTCTTTTGTTTCTGTTAGAAATATAACTGTAATGCTGAGCAAAATCTATTGCTGCTCATTGAAAGCAACTACTGTTCCTTAGCTCAGCTCTGCTGGTTGCTCCCTTCCACCATCTAGTGGCACCGTAGTCATACTGCTCTCTCTCCTAACAACTTAAGGAGTAAAATTCTACAGATAGTGTTAGTGAGTGTGTGCTTTAGAAATGAGAAATACATCTGGATAAGAAACGCTTCTTTATTGTTATTATTTATTTATAATTATGAAAAGGAAAATAATTTTTGTGGGTAAACTCTTCTGAGAGAATAGGACAGATTCAATGGTAAATTAGTAACAGTGGATAAAAGTTCTACATGCCTCATCTTGCGAAAGGGCAAAGCAGCTCTTTTTGACTGAATTCTTACAAATTCTTTTGTGGTAGTAATTGGACTTTAGCTTGAACGCTTCAGAATTAAGCCTAAGGAAATGCCTACTAGAACCATGCTTGATTTGCAGTTTACCTACATATATAATGGGTAAAGAAGAAGATTTAGAGAGATTATCAAAGGTAAAGAATAATATAAAAGATATATTTTCCTTTCTGCTTATAAGATTTTATTAAGTCTATGGGTGTTTTGTTTTACAACAAATGTTTCTGTATCATTAGAGGATAAGAAGTAACATGTCAGTGTATTAGAAATGTTATGTTTGGAATGTTTTCATTCAAAAGATGTATTCTGCACAATTATATGACTAAAGGAACGTGAATCATCTAAAATATGTTCTGTTCTCTGAAATGTGTTTGTTTGTTTGTTTGTTTGTTTTCCAGGTGCTGGTTGTGATGAATTAGACTACAGAAGGAATCAAATTTCTATCAAATTCTGAATCAAGTTCATATTTCCCTTTCCAGTTTTAGTCAACTGACAAGGCAAATTGACAGAAGCCAGACTGTAGAACCTCAGCATCTAGGATATCCAGTTTATATTTGTTTGTTTGCTTGTTTTTCCTTTTAAACATGTACAATTATGTATTCTAGTCATACTGATAAGCTGTCAACATATTTTCCAGGGTGGAAAAATTCCCATAAGATGGACTGCTCCTGAAGCTATAGCTTACAGGAAGTTCTCTTCAGCAAGCGATGCGTGGAGCTATGGGATTGTAATGTGGGAAGTGATGTCCTATGGTGAGAGGCCGTACTGGGAGATGTCCAACCAGGATGTAAGTACTACACGGGACTAATCTGTCAGTTCGTGGAAATGTTCCTTGAAAAACGATTGTTACTCCTTATCCTGTTTTACTTCTTTATTAACTTCCTAGGCTGGGATCTCAACTTATTTAAATCAGCATAACTCTATTGGCTTTTATGAAATGGTTTATTTGTGCAAGCTGGGGACTTGACCTGACATATTACAAAGAGTCATAGCCAGCTTACCACTATCTGAAGCTGGATATATGTGGTTTTCATCCAAATCACTAGAATCTGCATCAGATATGCAGTTTGATTCAGTTATCTGTTAAGCCATAAATCAAAACTTGGGGCAATATTGTAACTCTTCTGTTCATAAATTTGCCCCATTATCTGCATTAGTGTCTGACAGTGCCCTTCAATGGGTATATATTGATGAATTCTAAAAGAGTAAAGGTTAAACTGCCATGAGAAATGTATTTGTAAATTAGCCTTTCTAAGAATTAAATGTGTTCTGCTTTCCTTAAAAAGCAAAAAACAGCAACAACAAAAAACTACCTATAGGCTTACCTACAGTGCAAGACAATGGCATCATATGCTATATATGCAATACCTCATAGCGTCATGTGATATTTTCTACTGTCATTTCTTGGCAAAAGTTGCAGCCAACTAAATCTTCCTGATTAAAACCCACATTTGCTTCTAGTGTACTAGAAGACTTGACATAAAAAATGCAGCACTGAAAAAGGAGTGTTTTTTTTTTCTAGTGAGATTTAAATTTTTAACTTATTTTGTTATTTAGTGGTCTCCCACCACAGCTAAAACTGGCATACTTGGTCCTCACACCAACATTTACCCTCCATGTCAAAATGCAGAACACCAGCCATCCCGACTTAATCTCCTCCATATCTGTGCGTGAAATACCTCTGCATTGGTTCCGAGGAGCTGACATGACTTTTCCCAGATGGCTGTTTTTAAATCACTCTAAGTTATTCAGCTGTTCAAGTCTGGCTGGTTGTTAAGGTTGATCAGTCATTTGGGGGTAAGGATCTGAGATATTTTCATTAAAGAAACATAATTTCAGAGTGCTCTAGAAAAACAGCAAACAAACAAAAAACACAGAAAAGACTAGCAGGATTAGTAAAACCTTATTTCCTTCGGATTTCTGCTCTACAGCCCCACCAGTACAACAAGCCTAGTGCTTTCCAACGTGTCTGCTCCTACTCTTTGGAAGAGACCACCTCTCCTGCACTTTATTCTCCCCTGACAATACCTTCACTCTCCATCCCCTCTCCACCCACAAAGCAGAGCGCTCCCTAAGCAGTGGATAGGATACATTATGTGCTGCATCTGGTTTTGAGCCACACTTCTGTCTGTGAACCAGCCAGTGGTTGCAAGGTTGGCCAGCTGAAGAGAACAAGTAACAACTGAGCTGAGGTAGAGAGTTTCCTCAGTGGAGACGTTAATTCAGTACTGTCTGAGCTAGAAACACGTCCTTGATCCGTTTTGATATAAGTACATATGTATGGTAGACTCAATTCTCTTTTTCACCCGTGGCAATCTGTTGACATGACCTGCGGTAGCTAAGATTGCCACATGGGCCTGACACAGGACACAGAACCTGCAGGAACCCCTTTGGAATACCAGGTGAGGGCCAGGCAGTATACCTTACAGAATCTAAAATTAGACAACTGAATTAAGACCAGTTTGTCCCTGGAGCACAGTGTGCAATCATCTGTGTATAGATTTTTTCCAAAGTAAATCTCTATTTGTTACAATCAAGTATATTGCCAAGCAACTGTATGCCTTGCCCAGCTGCTGATTTTCACTCAACTTGTTTAATTTGATTGAGGTGAGCCAATGAGTTCAAAGTTATTAGAAGAAGATGAACAGATAAACTCAAGCTGACAAGATGAGTACCCCAGCTATTTCCTTGCCTGAACTGAAGTCACTTGTCAGCTCCTAAGGTGCCATAGCTTATAAACACTACTTTAAGACAAATCGACGTTTTTTTCCTTAAAAGCTCACAGTTAGATGTATTGTTTTAGGAGCTGATTGCTGAAGTGCTTGGAGATCCCTGTTGCATGCATAGCCATGCATAGCTGAGCAGTTCTTGAGCTAGACTTCCCATCAGAAGCAAGTCTTAAACACAGTCATGGCAATATCAGCCTCTTCAGCATGTCTACACTGTTGCAAAACCTAAATCCTCTGCATTACAAGGAATGCAGTTTGTATCAAAATACACTTCTTGCCTCAAATTACCTGCTTTCCCAAGCTAGCAGGTGGAATGCAGTTTGTATCAAAATACACTTCTGCTTTCCCAAGCTAGCAGGTGAGATAGTTGGTTTCACTGTGTGCCTTTAGGGGAGATGGGACAGAGCGTGACTTCAGGAAAAAGGCACTAGCACATCAACATTTGCTGAGTAATAAGTAAAATGGCCATATGCAGACCTACAAGGGAGGCTCACTGGACTGTTCCCCTTCCCCTACATCCCAGTCACTGCTGCCTGGTCAAGGGACCGTGCTACTCATAGAGCAGCAATGAGTCCTTTCTCATAGTCCTTTCTGCTGTCCATGCTGCATCCCATGAGCATGGGCAGCACTGTTTTGCTTGGTTTTCCTGACCACATAATGGATATTTCATTTCTCCCTTTCCTCTGCAGTACCCCATTTATGGGGCAGCCTCAGTGCCAGTGCTGCCAGCTGCAGTGGCACTTCTCTGTAACTCATTCTCTGCCCCTTGTTCTGCCACTCTGCTTGTCTAGCCCAGATAACTGGCAGCTATTAATGACTGCAGCCTGAGGAGGTGCAGGGAAGAGAATAGTTTCCTGTCCTATTCTTGTGTCTCATTGCCACATGGTCTTGTGCTAAAACATGGGAGAAGATTCTGTTCCCACTGTGAGTGATTTCAACTGAGTCAGAGGAGCTGCTGTTGACATTTTTACTTTTCCTGCCATCATAACACTTCTCTTCACGCCGACTCCTTCACCCATCCCAGCTCTTGATTGCTTCGCTGCTGATGCTGCTAACTGGGAATGGTGGGGCAAGAGAGACAGAGAGAGTTTCTGTCAAGCCTGTCCAGCTTATAGGACTTATAAGGCCCTTACAGAGACTGCGAGTTGCCAGGTGAGAATAATGCACAATGCAGACCTGCAGTCTGTCCATCCCTCCTTTTCTCTGAAAGGCCTCAGACAGGCTTCAGGCTGCCCGCTTCCCCCCTGCCACAGCCTGGGATGTATTTGGTGAAGATCATGCCAGCAGTGAGAGTTTATGACATGGCCTCCCATTTAGGATATGTTAAATACGCTGTTGCAGCATAAGGATAAGACCACTTACTTATTCCTGCATCCAAAATGTAAGTATCTTTTAATGCAGAAGAATGATGTGGGCCCTCTGTACAAATGGTACTGACTACAGAGCACTTTCCTTGCCTTTCTCCAAAGCCCAGCACAGAGAGCTGCTCTTCTCCAAAGCCCTACCCCGCAGGCTTTCTGTTCTGAAATGTTAACAGTGAGTGCCTGTGACCTTCTAAATACATTTAGTGACTCAAAATGCCATTGGAAAGTGTCAGTTTACTACACACATTGTAAATCTTACTTTGCTGCATATTGTGACATATGTTTTACTACCGTAAATGACTCTGAATTAGCATGGGCTTATTTTGCAGAAATAATAGTACCTTTCAAAAGTCAGTGATACTGCATATATAACAGGGAAAGTAAAGGAGAAGGGTATGCACTAAACAGATTCATAAAGGACATATTATGCAAAATATTGCTAATAAAGTCTTGTATAGGTATAGTCACAGGTTCTACTATAGCAAAAAATCTTCCAAAATTAACATTACAGGACTCCAATTTCTGGGATTTGTATTCCGATCATAGTAAAATTCTGCTTTAGCTAGCAATAAAATATTTAATTGGGTCGGGATTTTTATAGAGTACTAAATGTTTTACAGGCATAAACTCCACAGGCCTTAGGTACTTTTTCACATTCTATCCTATATATTGCTTTTCTATATAAAAAACTTTTGGAAATTAGTTCACTTAGTAGCCAATAGCTGAACAAGTGATGGTTGAGATAAACTGCAGCTGCCTGTTAAAATTTCTCTTTTTTTATTTATAACATACAACCATCTCTCCCCAGAGGGAAGAAAAGGCAAGAGAAGTCTGGTTCAGGTCTGCCTGATGCTGTATCTATTTACTGTATGAACACATTTTCAATCAGATGAACAGTAGGGCTGGACTAACCCTGCAGAGAGTCTTTTCTCTCACCGCTTCCATCAGTGACAGTGATCAAATCACTAGGAACTATCCCAGGTAGCAGAGATTCAGAGACAATGCAAAGAGAAGTGTTAAATTGATACCTGAGTAGAAACACTCTGATTTTCAGAGACCATCATGGCTCATACCTCTCAGGTCAATAACACCTTTGCAAACCAGTGTCCTCTATTTCTGTTCCTAAACAAGGATTTAGAAGCTGAACTTAGGCAACTGAGTTTGAAAACGTCTCCCATAAATTTTTTAGCACAATGAACAGCATAATGTATGGTCTGAAAATGTTACTAATTTGAGAAATGTTCTTGTTTAACTAAATAACCATTTTATTATTGTGATAAGTCACTTCAGACATGGATTAGTGCTGATTAATGCACTTCTTAGATGTATGGCAGACACCAGAGATGTCCATTAATTAGGGCTGCTGCACAGTCTGTCATGTCTTATTGCTTAATTAATAAACATTAGCTAAGATATTGAACTTTCCCAGGAAAGTGGTGTGCTGATGAACAGATTGTGCTAAGAGCCTAGCTTGCAAATGCTCATGTGAGGAAAGGAAGATTGATATTCGGCGGATTTGGTTTGTAGAACAGCTGTGAGTGAAGCCTCCTGGGACACCTGTTAGAGGCCACTGTATAAATTATTGCAGGTTGCAGTATTCCAAAAAGGAGGAATATTTCATGGATTGTAATTGATACGCAGGAAAACTACTGTACCAATCAGAATAAAAGTCCTTAGACTTGTGACAATTTCTT